GGGGGGGGGGGGGAGAACTTTCGCTCGATTGGAGCAATTGAAACGCGAGAGATCGAGCGAGCAAACGGCCGGACGATCGGATTAGAGCGCGATCTCCCCGACGGGGATGTGCCGGATGGCTAATAAAATTGCGCAATTCCGAGAAACCGTGGCATGGCCGCGGTTGTGCAATCATTGCAATCAGGGCGTGCAGTAAATTGTTGCGACTTTCGCCGGAAAAATTTGCGCCCCGCGCGCGGCAGTCTCGACGAAGAAAGCCGTCGCCTTCGCGAGCGCCTTTTCTTCTTCCTCTTCTTCCTTTTCCTCCTCCTCTACCTGTTTATACGCAGCGCGAATCCTCGCGGCCACGTCGAAGGACGCGATTCTCTCGTCGCTGGACTTACACGACTTTTATTTCTGCTTGCAGGATCGTGGAAATGCGGATGCGCGTCTGACGATCCGCCAAGATGGCCCTGACTGTCGTTCCCTCGGCCCGCGTTTTCAATGGAAACGGTGAGTCACTCTTAATAGAAGTGCACTCGCGTCTATGCAAAGACGCGGGGGATCGTTGTCCCGACCCGATCAAGTTGGAAATCGCAAACGTGAAAATCGCGAGTCGAAATTTTGACCTTACTTTGTCGCTCTTAAAAATAGCTTGAGCCTACTTAGATAATCTACAAACTACACTAAAAATTTATTAATTAAACTTATTTAGTTGAGTTAACTAAAATTTGGCTAAAATAAGATGGAACAAATGTTTTGATGGTAAGACCCAATATTTGGTACTTTGAACCAAAAGTTTGATTCTTTGAAACAAAAATAAAACAGGTTTAGTTTCAGAGAATCAAATCTTAGAAAGAATCTTAGAAAGAACGAAATTTTAGCCTTCACCGAAACATTTGTTCGACCGTATTTTAACCAAATTTTGGTTAACCCAACTAAATGAATTTTTCACTGTAGGCTGAAAGCTATTTTGACGATATTGACACTCATTTCCGAGTCGAAATTTTGATCCTACCTGAAACCTTGAATTCTATAAAATACATATATGTAGTAAATATATATAAATAAATATATATATTAAATATATATATTCTATGTAGTAAATACATATACATATATATGTTGAACCTTATATATTATATGTAGTAAATATATATATTCTATGTAGTAAATACATATACATATATATGTTGAACCTTATATATTATATGTAGTAAATATATATATTCTATGTAGTAAATACATATACATATATATGTTGAACCTTATATATTATATGTAGTAAATATATATATTCTATGTAGTAAATACATATACATATATATGTTGAACCTTATATATTATATGTAGTAAATATATATATTCTATGTAGTAAATACATATACATATATATGTTGAACCTTATATATTATATGTAGTAAATATATATATTCTATGTAGTAAATACATATACATATATATGTTGAACCTTGAATTCTATAAAATACATATATTCTATGTAGTAAATACATATATTCTATGTAGAAGCTTCAACAAAGGTTCGCAACTGAACCTACTTTACTTTCTAAAATCCTATCATACAACCTACTTTGACGCTAAAGAAAACGAAAGCGGAAATTTCAGACATCATCAAGGTCAAAATTAATTCTAATGATATAATTAATTTCTACTTTAACGAAATGATGTCTGAAATATATGCAACAAATAAAATGTGAATTTTGTATGCTATTTGACGTTTCTGTTTCGCTATTTATTAAATTTTTTAAATATTTCTATAAAATACATATATTCTATGAGTTAAAGCTTCAACAAAGGTTCGCAACTGAACCTACTTTACTTCCTAAGATCCTACTATCATACAACCTACTTTGACGCTAAAGAAAGCGAAAGCGGAAATTTCAGACATCATCAGGATCAAAGTAGGAGTAAATTATATCACTAAAATTAAACCTACTTTACTACCTTAGCACTTACTGCGGTGTAGAATTCAAGGTTCAACATAGAGTCCAAATTTCGACCCGGGAAAATAAATTATATCATTAGAATTAAACCTACTTTGCTATCTTAACTCCTACTGCGGTGTAAAATTCAAGGTCCAACATAGAATTAAAATTTCGACTCGGGGACGGATAAGAGGAGCAACGATTGTTGCTTGCGTATTGCAAGTCGTATCGCAAACCGCCTCATCAATCGCGCGCTACATCGACGTCATTATCCCTCGTCTCGCAAATTTCTGTTCGTTGCAATTACGGTAGTTTGTGATACTTTTTTTTTCAACGTCAAGCTTCTCATTACCGCCGACAATGATGCCGTCATTATCGCTGCCATCCCGCAATGGGATCATTTTCTCCGCCATTACACAACCGAGCGCGGACGGCCGGGATGATGTTTTTCGTTGCCGCCGATAACGCTGTTATTATTGCTATTGCCTCGCCGCGGGATTATTCTTCTCGGCGTTGTACACCGAGAAAGAGATGCTCGATTTATTTGTGGGATGTAACAAAAATTTCCCGCGATTTTCCCAGATGCAACATAGATTCCGGTTAGTTAATACCTAAATTTGTTCCGAAATTGGTTATTCCATTACGATGCCAATTGAGAATACCAGTCTGCTCCAAAACATAGATTCTCCGTCCAGAGTCAAAACAGAAATAGAAATATTCGTGCTTTTTTCAGTCAGCAAAGTCAGTATGATTTTGTGTCAAACGGGGAATCTTAACTTTTATACCAACTATGCTATTCAATAGAATACATAAAGGCAATTAAGTTTTTTGGTATTACCAAACATTTGGCTAATTCCATTTTAATCAAATTTTAGTTTTGTGAACCAAATTCTTTCGTCAGTGCGAAAAAGATTACTTCACAGAAAAGCGACAATTAAATTTTTTCTTTGCAGTTACCAAACATTTGGTTAATTCTATTATCCAAATTTTGATTTAGTATATTAAATTTTCTTTCAAACAACAAAATCTTTTTTCCATGAATATTGAGAAAACTTTGGGTTATCCCACTTAAAATCGCGTGTTTAAAACCTTACACTTCCACTTTCTTAAAATGAATCAGTCAAATATCATTGAAAACAGTGGATATACACTGATTGCAGTTATAAGTATAGCACTGAAAGTGCTTAGTGCTATATTCATAACTGATGAGTGACTATTCACTGATTCACTTTAAAGTGACTGGAGGGTCAGATTGTCTGAAAATCATGCTTGTTCTTTCACAATTTTTTATGACAAACTAAATGAATATGCGAAAATTTTAGTAGTAATATCTTGACTCTCGGTGGTTCAATTAAGCTGAATTTTAGGTAGAAAATTTCGGCAAGTTTGTCGTTATCGTGTGAAATACTATAATAGAAATTGAGTAAAAGTTAACAAAATTGCAAATATCTTAATGAAATATTATTAAATTTTCAGTTCTTTTATAGTAAAAAAATTAATATTTCAGAATTAAATATTTTCACGAGTTTCTCAGTGGTTCACACGATAACGACAATCTTACGGAAATTTTCTACCTAAAATTCAGCTTAGTTGAACCACCGAGAGTTATTACTGCAAAGATATTACTGCAAAATAACGACCTTGAAAAAAAAAACGAAATATATTTTACTGCATGTACCACACATTTATATTGAGTATTTGATCATCAAAATTATATTTTTCTTCTCTTTATATGTTGTATAAATATA